CTTGCAGCCAGAGAATCAACCTACAGACCAGAAAAAAAAATGGAACAAAAACGTCCGGTTACGGGATTAATCGGTTTTCAATGCATTGTAGGTCAATGGAGATTCGACCTACAGACTTTTCGACCTTCAGCCACCATTCCAATACGGATTAATTCCGTAAGTAGAGGGTCCACTGTATACTGAAGAAATATGTACTCCTTAGGACAAAGCAAAACATTTTACTCTTACAAATGCAGACTATGAATTCTGAGTTGGGGATTGAGAAAACAGTCTCCCTGCTCCAAGTTTGTTATTTGTGTTTTTCTCAAAGTAGGAGCCTTCAAGTCTATGTGTGAATATTTGAGTAGTTCTGTCCTTAGAGAGCCCTACAAAATAGAAAGAAAATACTTGTGTAATAATTTATTCTACTAAAACTAGGCCTCCAATTATCCAGTTGCCTAAGGGTAAAGAGAAGCACTAGAGATGAAACTCCATTCTGTCTTCCATTCTCTATTCCTCTCAAGGCTGGCTGCACACAGGTAGACACAGACTACCATGGAACACTACAGAACAGTAAAAGCCAGTGATCATTGTCTGGCTGCACCAAGCTTTTCAGGTTTAAACAAGAACGCCTGTTGGGTCACATGCACATGCACACATTTCCAGATTAACAGAAATAAAGTACATATTTTGAGTGGCACAAAATGACTATGAGTGTTCTCACTTAAGTCTGTTCATTGTTCCCTTGGATCAATATTCATGTTTGTGAACAGCCAGTACACTGATCAAACAACTGGCTGTTGTTTAGTCATTAAGTTGTGTCCAACTCTTCATGACTCCATGGACCAGAGCACGCCAGGCCCTCCTGTCTTCCACTGCCTCCAGGAGTTTGGTCAAATTCATGTTGGTGGCTTCGGTGACACTGTACAACCATGTCATCCTGTCGTCCCCTTCTCCTCTTGCCTTCACACTTTCCCAACATCAGGGGCTTTTCCAGGGAGTCTTCTCATGAGATGGCTAAAGTATTGGAGACTCAGCTTCAGGATCTGTCCTTCCAGTGAGCACTGAGGGTTGATTTCCTTCAAAATGGATAGGTTTGTTTTCTTTGCAGTTCAGGGGACTCTCAAGAGTCTCCTCCAGCACCACAATTCAAAAGCATCAATTCTTCGGCAGTCAGTCTGCTTTATAGTCCAGCTCTCACTTCCATATATCGCTACTGGAAAAATCACAGCTTTGACTCTGCAGACGTTTGTCCCAGTGAGCACTGAGGGTTGATTTCCTTCAAAATGGATAGGTTTGTTTTCTTTGCAGTTCAGGGGACTCTCAAGAGTCTCCTCCAGCACCACAATTCAAAAGCATCAATTCTTCGGCAGTCAGTCTGCTTTATAGTCCAGCTCTCACTTCCATATATCGCTACTGGAAAAATCACAGCTTTGACTCTGCAGACGTTTGTCGGCCATTTCCAGTCATAACAAAATTCATGTGGGCATCAAGATATTCATTTTTGCAATATTTCTAGGGACGACCAGCTTGTCTAATTCTACAAGCTTTATTTATCTACCCTGCTTCTATACAATTGCTCCAGAGGTTGGGAATTTGATTCCCGACTGTACCCTTCCGATAGGAGATGGACTCAATGATCCATGTGGTCCCTTCAAGCTCTGCAGTTCTAAAATGATAATGGTGGTGGTTATACTCCATAAGAACAAAAACAATCCTCACTTTCTGCCATCAGAGTGGTATCATCTGCATATCAAACAACTGGCTACTTACTGTCAACTGACTATCTATGGTTATGTTGGCTGGACAGCTCAGTAGTTTAGGCCTATGGCTACAGAGCCAGAGGTTGGGAGTTTAATTCCCCACTGTGCCTTCTCAACAGGGACTGGACTCAATGGTCCATTCCAGCTCTGCAGTCCTAGGATTATAAATCTCCTAGGATTATGGTTGTCAATAATGACACTATATACTGTAGATGTCAATTTACCTTTTTTATATACCATTAAGGAGTCACCACTTAGAAAACTGCAGAAGTGAAGACATATTGTTCAAAGTCAACCTGTAACCAGGTGCAACACTAATATAACTGTAGATGAATGAAGCAAGCAAGGAGTTTTGGGGGGAACAAAAACATTATTTACTAAACAATAGATCAAAGTAGGGCCAGACAGGCATAAATTCAAAACATCTCTTAGCAAAAAAAATGTCATTCTCTTAATATAACCATTATTTGACTAAGTCTTTTTTAAATAAATGCCCATCCTTGTATTCGACAGGGCTTAAGACAAGGTATTAAATCAACACATTGCAACATGTTCAACTGTCTTATGATCCCTGGCTTAGCATGTTATGAGACTACGGCCAATACAGTGGTGCCTCGCAAGACAAGCGCTTCGTTTTACGACGAAATCGCATAACAACGAAGTTTTTGCGATCGCAAAAGCAATCGCAAAATGATGCTTTCTATGGGGTTTTTTTTGCTTTGCGATGATTGGTTCCCTGCTTCGCTAACCAATTATCGCAAAACGATGATTTTAGAACTGCTGATCAGCAGTTTCAAAATGGCCACCGGGTAAAAAACATGGCCGCCCGCTGTTTTCTGGGACGGATTCCTCGCTGCACAGGCAGCAAAAGTGGCCGCGCTATAGAGGATCTTCGCTGGACGGTGAGTTTCCAGCCCATAGGAACGCATTGATTGGATTTTAATGCGTTTCTATGGACTTTTAAAAATCGCTTTACAATGTTTTCATTCTACAGCGATTTCGCTGGAACGAATTAACATCGTAATGCGAGGCACCACTGTATCAGGAATGTGCATGCAGTAAAGAGCATATACCAGACTACATCCACATCACTTGGCCAGATTTTCACTTATGCATCTAGAGTCCCCATTTCTGTTTCCCCAACTGCACCATCATCCTGTGTGCTGTCAAATCAATTCCGACTTATGGTCAACATTCTCAGAGTTTTTCAGATATACTCAGAAGTGGTTTAGCATTCCCTTCTTCTGGGAGCTCTCTGGGACTGTGTAGCTTGTGCAATATAAGCTGGTTCAGAAAGGTACAGAACTTCAGACCTCTGGCTCTGCAATCAGATATCCAACTCACTGAGCCATTCAGCAGTTTAAAAGTTTTCTCCAGGAAGCTCCTATGCCCTCTGGAGTAGATAAAGCAGCATATGCAGACGAGTTGAATCCTTTTTCTCATCAACACTATGGCAGAAATGGAACCATAAGATAACAACCCTCCAGTCTCTCTTTGGGGCTACAAATATTCTCTAGAGACACTCTTTTTGATCAAAGTGATGTTCTAGCAGAAGAAAAAGTGCCTAAGTCAAATAGGATACAAGATTAACAATTCCTCCAGGACAGGCAGTCAACAAGTCTCAAAAGCTCACCGAGAAGGATGCAGAGGCACCAACACACATTATTTTACCTCAACAGCCCATTCCCATGCTCCCCAACACCATATTCCCAGACTTGAAGCCAAGGATGGGAAACCCTTAGTGCAGAGTTCAGTTTAAGAGAAGTGGTCAGGGCTGGACTTCCTGTGAGGGTGGAGGAACAAAGGCAAAACCGTACAGCTAAACACACCAGCATATTTTAGCTTAAAACACTTGCTATTGGTAACCAAACCTTAGGAGAAGAATGTCAGTGCTTCAGAATAGGGGGTGAGGCGGGGGCAAACCCAGGGGTACCACAACATGATGAAATGAAGGTGCAGCCTTTTGGGGAAACCTGTAGAGTCAAATTTACCCACTCCCCAGTGGGCACGACTCTGGCCCCAAGGCCTAAGTTTCCTTACCCTAATTTATGCTTCCCACACCTTCCCTAGTGAAAAAGCAGTATGGTTCCAAATATAACGCTGAAGCTTTTAAACATTTACAGACTCAGAGCACACTATTTCATCTTTTTTTCATTCCTAACGGTAACCTGTACTTTACCTGCCACAAGAACTGACTTGGGAGTGGAGCAGGATTAAAAAGCAGCCTATACGTACATCTTTCTTTCATAAAATTGCAGCATGACATCAAAACCAGCAGCTCATTTCCAGCAAAAGCCTGTTCTCCCTAGCACTGCACCTGGCAGTTTCCACCGCCTTTCACCCTTTCTGTAAACTGATCTGCGGGCACCTTGGCGACGACGACCCAAGTTTGCTCTTGCCTGTTTTGACAGTGGCCTCGTTCAAGGAGGGGCTCACAAAGAACCTCAGTCTTGAGCTGCCTCTAAGATTTATGAATGGGCATATTGTGTGCTTGAGATTCCAGGCTGTTCCTCCTCCTTCGCCAACAGCCAGAAGAAAGTAAAATGATGCTGAAGGAGGTGAGCTTGTCACTCTCTGGATTGCAGCTCACCAGCTGCAGGCAACTTTTAGATGCAAAGATCACACCGGTTCTATTTCACCTCATTCTTAAACAGAAGCTCTTCATATTGGCAGACGCGCCACGCAAAAAAAGTGAACTAATTCCGTAAAAAAAAAAGGAGGGGGGAAGGAGAGGAAGGGCAGAGACGACGGGGAAATAGACTGAAATGTGATCCGCTGCTACTGTGCAAGAAAGCCTTTGCATCCTAAGCAACCTTCTTCTTCTTTTTCGCCCACACAGAAGACACCGCCCCTTCCCAAGTCTGCCCATCTTGCGCAAACCGAGAGGCGTCTGCAAACTGGGGTGCTCGGTCCCAGTCCGTTTTGCAGCCCCAAAGCACCTCGGCAAGGCTTCTTTCGGCAAGGCTGCATCCCGACAGCGGAAAGAAAGAACTGCAAGCATCTCTCTCTCTCTCTCTCTCTCTCTCTCTCTCTCTCTCAAAGAAAAATACGCACAACTCTCTCTCTCTCTCTCTCTCTCTCTCTCACACACACACACACACACACACACACACACACACACACACACACATGGGGAAATGGCAAATGGCAAGGGACCACTGCAAAATTTGCAATGGGCACCTACGATCCCTCTACCTCCCCTCCACACACCTACCTCCCCCAACCACATCCCGCCTCCAAGCGAAACTCAAGACCTACCCAACTCTGCACTTTGTTGCTCAGCTTGACTTTTTTGAATTGGCTCGCCGGCAAATCCATCCCGCAGCGGCGGTGGAAGAAGATGATGGGGAAGAGGAAGGCGAGCAAAGCGGAGCCGCCAGGCAAAGGATACGACGCAACTTGGGAGGAGAAGGAGGAGGAGGAAGAAGAAGAGGAAAAGCAACAGAGGAAGGGCGTGGGAAAAACTGAATGAGAGCGAGCGACGGAGGGAGGATGCTGTTTTTCGCCTGAAGGCTACTACTTTGCGGCTGGAGGCGGCTGGACTGGGCAGCCCGCGAGCTCCCGGCTTGTAAAACGAAGAGGTGGGGGCGGAGGGGGCCGAGCGGAGAAGGGAGCGAAAAGGAGGAGGAGCCAGAATGAGGCGAGGGAAAGAGACGCCCACGCCCCCCCACGCCCGCTTTCCACTCAGAGAGAACGCGAGCGCGCATGCGCCCGCCTGCAGACTTCTACTGCCACGCAAGCCCCGACATTACCTTTGCACGGTTACTGCGCATGCCCCGCCTCGTAGCGAATCAACGCTGGATAGGAAAGTGGAAGGGGGAGGCGGTGCCAAATGGCTCCCGCCGAGGAAGACCCCGGAGATTGCCGCTCTAGCCGCACCTCTGTCGTTTCATAGAGGGTCATGGGGATTGGGGATGATAGAGGGAGGAAAGCGGCTCTTTCCTGCCCTCTCCTACGTGCACGACAGGAAAGTTGTCTTGGTTTTGGGTGCAGTAGCTTTATACAACGGTGCTGCACCCAAACTGGCACCCCAATTTCTTCAGCCTATTCTTTCCCCTCTTAGGCTTCTCTCCCCATTTATTTTGCCCTAAATCATCAGCTGTACTTTTTGTTTCCCAACACGTGACCGAAGTATTAGGGCAGTCTGCATTGTATGAGTTTTGTGAGGTCTTCGTCTTTATTCATCTTAGTCCTTCTCGCTTAGTCCTCTCAATCGACGAAATCCTTAGTGTCCAATTTTTATTTATTTTATTTATTATTCGATTTATAACCTGTCCCTCTAGACAGAGTCTACTCGGGGCGACTTACGAAGAATAAAACATTATAAAATACAATCACAAAAAAACCATCAGTATATATAAATCAATGACATAATTATATCAACAAATTAGAAGATCTATTTGTCCAAGAGACCAAAGATGGAGAAACTACAGTATGGCCCCCAAAAATTGTGGGGCTGCGCCTCCCATCATCTCTCATCACTGGTTATGCTGGCTTAGGCTGATAGGAGTTGGGAGTCCACCAACATTTAGAAGTTCACATTTCCCAAGCCTTGATGTATGGCCAATAACAAGACCACCCCAGCAAGCACTGGAAAGGGCGGGCACCTTGGCCAATCGCTCTCCTGTTTCTCAAAAAGGCCTTTTAACCAAATGCATTACTGGACCTGTAGTAAGTTGCTAATTTGGTACTGTTAAATTTCTAATTCTGCTGTGCTGACAGAAACCAACAGGCAAGCTAGTAACAAAGTCATCAAATCAGTTCTGAGTCGTGATCCTTTTCAGGGCTTTCTAGCTAGAGAATACTCAGAAGTGGTTTGCCATTTCCTTCTTGGGGCATCCGGGTGGGCTTGCACACTGGTGGGCTCTACTCACGGGAGGCACAGTGAGGAGTCGAACTGCCAACTTCTACCTAACCCACTGAGTTCTGTCCCTTCTCCAGCTGTCCATTTTGACACCAGATATAAAGGAGGTGGTTTCTTTTTCCTGGTAGCTTGCTGAGTTTCTGTGCTTCCTGCAGAGGAGAGATGGTGTGTTCTCTGCAAGGGATCTCACACTTATTCTGATGGAGTATTTGTAGTCACCTGCATGGAATTTCTTGGTCTACCAAGTGGGTGCTTAAATGTAAGCCTGCTCAATGGAGCACTTTTGACATCAGCATGAAGATGTCCAGAGAGCTGGTCATGCTATTCATGTGTACTGCAAAAGGTTCTAGAAAGGGAGTGAAAGAGGTGGGTTAAAAAAAACAGTTACATCTCTCAGACACCATGACTAGTAACCATGTTGCCTAGAGGATTCTAGGAGCTGTAGTCACAAAAAGTAACTTTTCTGAGCATTTATTCTGGGGATGGTTAGGCTACCTGCAGCATTCTCTAAGCATAATAGGTATCAAGCTTCTCCTGCCTGAAAGCGAACATGCTTAACATTGTCCTGAAGCGAGAAAAAGATTGATAATAATGAGTATGCTGCCCTTTAAGCAAATTTATCCATCTTTACTTTTGTTGTATATCTCCTGTAGGCTTTTTAGAAATAAAAAATAAAATAAAACATGGATTTTTCCAGAACCTGTTTGAAAAACACTTATATAGAATTTTTATTGTCAGAAAAGAACTCTTGAAGTGTATTTCTTTTCTACTAAAACATCTAACACATAGGAGTACTGGTGTAGGATAGTGCAACTGTTTCTCAAATCCTATAGAAACTGTGTGAAGATTTTACTCTGTCTGTCTACCCATTCATTCCTGCATTTAATTTATATCCCAATTTTTTTTACTAAGTTAAAAAATTGTAAATTAGTTAAAAGGGAAAAACATTTCTAGAAAGAAACATATTAAAATAATGAATAAAAACAATTTAGAAAGACTTGAAAGCTCCAGTATGTATTTCAAAAATCACAGATGTACAGTAGTTACCATAGAAATCTGTGAGATATCAAAGGTGTCCATGCCATCTAAATGTATAACAATCTTTCATTATCTCTAGTATACGAAATCATATTTCAAGTAAGTCAACACTCCTTTGCAATTATCATTAAACACTTTTCTCTCAAAAGCAGAGCTAGACAATATCTGGAAAATATCTATTTCTGTACAGGAACGGGGAGAGGTCACCCATCCCATCCCTCTCAAGTTTCACCATGCTTAACCAATGTGGTAGTGATGATCTACTTTATTCCTTAAAGGTTCAAATGAATAAAATACGACCCTTCATTGCACAACTGTTTACATTGCGCAAATACTCTTTAACAGATAGTAAGTTGTTCCCTAATGTCTAGGTTTTTTTGACTCTTACATCAGGAAGGGCTAACTCAGTAGCAACAGACAGCAATCTTTCAAAAATTCCGAAGATTATCTAAGAATGTTTTCCTCTGCACACTCTTCCGTTAGGCTAAATACATCCATTCCTTTACATCGCTGCCCTTATAGTGCACCGCTGCAAGAAATGTAATTAAAACGTATTGAAGATAATAAATCCAAGTTAAGTAATTAAGAGTTGACTCATAATTCTTGCTTACATAATGAAAACAAATTCATGCCTACAGAAACTGATTTGCTACCATTCTCATCATACCTCACAAGGGGACGTGGTGGCGCTGTGGGTTAAACCGCAGAAGCCTCTGCTGCAAAGTCAGAAGAGCAGCCGTTGTAAGATCGAATCCACGCGACAGAGTGAGCTCCTGTCACTTGTCCCAGCTCCTGCCAACCTAGCTGTTTGAAAGCATGTAAAACTGTGAGTAGATAAATAGGTACTACCTCGGTGGGAAGGTAACAGCGATCTGTGTCTAGTTGTGCTAGACATATGATTGAGACTAAGCCACGTTACAGTATCTTCTTTACCTGATCATTTTATTTTCCCTGTTTGTTATTTAAATAAACCTTGTTCTTTTGTTTAGTAAAATCCATTCCTGGTCTGTGTGACTCCTTACAGGGAATGGTTGGTGGCAGCATAGTTAAAGTGTGGCATACTCCAGTAGGTCTGGGGTTGTCACACTACCATTCTCATCATACCTCACAAGGGAAGCCTCTATGCCGCAAAGTCAGAAGAGTAGCCGTTGTAAGATCGAATCCACGCGACAGAGTGAGCTCCTGTCGCTTGTCCCAGCTCCTGCCAACCTAGCTGTTTGAAAGCATGTAAAAATGTGAGTAGATAAATAGGTACCACCTTGGTGGGAAGGTAACAGCGATCTGTGTCTAGTTGTGCTGGACACATGACCACGGAAGCAGTCTTCGGACAAACGGTGGCTCTATGGCTTGGAAAAGGGGATGAGCACCACGCCCTAGAGTTGGACATGACTGGACTAAATGTCAAGAGGAACCTTTACCTTTGCATCATACCTCACAATTGGCAGAGTAGCTAAGGCTTATGGAAAGTGGTGTTTGGCAACATCTGGACAGCAACAGGTTTTCCAGCTCTGACCTCCACAATCTGAAGACCATGGTTTATTTTGGTGCACTAGACTAGATTATTCTAGTACTTACTATTTTAGATAATCACAAATCGCTGTGTTTCCCTAGAAAATCTGCAAAGATGCAACAATGGTTTTCTGGAATTCTTGTTCAGTGCCATCTTCCAAAATCTTTTTCCATCTGCTCCACTTCAGCTATGATGGTAAAATATGGACTCTGAATACCAACTGCCTGAGACAAGAAATAGAGCCCCCCCCCAAAAAAAATAGCTGTTACTCTTTTGCCCTGGTCGTAGGATTCTAAGAGGTAACTCGCAGGTCCAGTCCCTGTTGGATTGGGTCAACTCACTTGCCTTAAAACACAAAAGCTACAAGTGTAAGGCAATTTAAGAAGTCTGTTCAGCTTGCGTTTTAATGCAAAGATGCTTAATTCATACATCCTAGGCTAAGACACCTACTGAAACACAGTTTTCCTTGTTATTTGCGTTTCTCTGGATGTTGTGCACTTCTCTATTTTAAAAAAACTTCTAAAACTGTCCATATGAGGGGAAAGTATACACAATATGTACATACTCTTTTACATACTGTAGAAAATTTACATAAAAAGAAAAATGCAGAGAGTTCTGCATTTCTGATTTCTGACCACCAGGGGCCTCATAATATCAACTTTTAGGCCAACAATCTGCATCCTCTGTTTCTTTGGTCAACAAGATCAAATTTGAAAGTAGCTGCTCAGAAAGAAAAATAAAAAGAAGCCTTAAAGTCCATAGAATATGATGGCTCTGAGTGCCATCATTAGACATGAGATCTATCAGATTATCACACTTTTTCAAATCACAGATTATGCCCAGCAAAGTCAGGTGTTCATTATGCTGGGCACCAGTAGCACCTGATCCCTGTCACCACTAATCTTCTCTACTAGTGGACAGATTTGTGTACACCTTTATTTGACCCTCCCTGCATAGCTTGCCAGTTAGGTGCACCAAATGATGCTATCCCATCACTAGTGATGAAGCAGGATGCACGGGCATGCATCCTGCTTCTTCTGGGAACTGTGATCAACAAAAAATAATTTCCCCAGTCCCTGCCTGTATTTACCATTTTACAAAATACGAAAGTGTTTCATTCTGTTACAAAATTGTAACACTTAAAGAAGTCAGTTTCATTCTGAAGAAAAGTCAGCCATAGGATCCCATCTAGAATGCAATCCCAATATCAGATTTTGCCTGTTGCAAATTCTTCTCCTCATACTTCCTATCTGCAGCAAAAATGCTCTTTG